AACTGACTGCCAGACTGTAATTACATTTTTTTTTAGCTTTGGAGAAGAACAGCAATGATCGTAATGCAAACCTCTGTATAGAATAAGAGAATTTATGCTTTAGAGGGGCAGTGCGGACCTTTGCACAACATGATTAAAACTGCGATTGATTATTTAATCAGGTTAGGTATCTAGCAAATTCTTTATCATTTTTACATTTTTTTACAGGGGCTGGTGTATTGGTTACCCTGGTGGCACGGGCGTCAGTACACTGGTGTCAGAATCCAGTACTTTTATAAAATCATTTAGGCAGTCTAAATGGACCCTGGTGCATTTTGACTCACTAGAAGCAGTAGGGCCTGTATAGTGCCATATAAATAAATTAAAATGGATTACAATTGAGTTTTGTGTTAGTAACATACTGTGAGTTATTCTGCTACTATTTTTGAACTAAAGGAGGACAAATCGTAGTACTTGTTTCATTTCAGTATACAGAGTCAGGTGGGTCATGCAGTAAGATGCAAACTACAATCAAATGCTGGATCCGGTCAGTGCATCACACGCTGTGCACATACTCTTGGACAGTCACTCGTTTAATGAACAACCAACCTTTCTAGGTTATCATGGGGTTTTTCAGCTCTGTTTTTCCTGATATTTAAAACACACAGAGACCAGAGTGTCAGACAGACATTTTTACATCTTACAGAATTTCAAATTAAGTCATTTTATTTTGAGGTCACAGGGCCATACATGACTCAAATAAAATAAATTCATGTCTGGCACTACAAAGACACTCAGCAGATGTCTCTGCAAAGAAAAAAAAAGCCAGTTAGTCACCATTGGGTGGTGATGATATGATAACAGTTTGTTGTTTACTGTGCATCAGTGGATCTGATACTCCAAAGGCTGGATATGAAGCGGCTTGTTGTTATAGCTGTTAAGTAACTCCACTTATCTGCGTCTTTACTATCATATCTTTCTCCTGCAAAGCACGTGCTTCAGTCTTTCTATTGATGACCTAAAACATAAATACTACAGCAGTCTGCATCTTCATGTCAGTCAAGCACTGAATCAGCCAACCAGAAAACAGACCAGTTTACTCCACACCAGCACCATAAACCCAGCACCAGTAACCTGTGAATTAATATCTGGCAAGCTGCCATTAATATTCGCTGCCAGTGTGTCTCAGCCTCAAAGTCCATCGGTGAGGACAGTGTTGCAGCATTGATTTAAAGGCTTTAAATGACGCGTGGAAAAATAAATCCATAATTTCCTTCATTTCCCCCCCGCACATGTAGGCCCGCACCATATGGCCTGCGCATGGTTTTCAAGCTGGCATAAACATCCTTACAATTCATACCGACTGCCAATCGTTTAGGGGAAGACAAAGTAAAGGAGGACATCAACATACACCCTAAAGGCACCGATCGATACCTAACCGCTGATTGCAGATTAGCGGATGCCGCCGCACGGGGACTACAGTCTATTAATTGCAGACTAAAAAGCGCGTGGAGAACAAAGAATGTGGCCTCTGCTTTTCTCACATTTTGTCACCGATAGCATCCAAACGGCGTTTAATTGATGAGGATTGTTTTGGGGTTTAAAAAGTAACGATTGAGCACAACCTGGCCTGTTGACATCAGCGTTTGCGCATTTCAAACCGGATCAAATTGCAAGTACCAGCCCATTTACAGCAAACACACACACATACACAGACGAACACACACGGATCTGCGATGGATGTAGTAGAAGATCTGAGCAGGTCAATGGGTAAAATGAGGGGTGGTCTACAATGACAAGGTCAATAGCGACGTGAAAATGGAAGTCAGTAACCATAAACACAAACCGACATGGAAGAGAAGAAGATAAAAAACCCCACCACCTTTGCTCGGAAACGCGATCCCCTCCTTCCGATCCGCGCTGAGGTAAACCCAGCTCCAGCTCCGACCCTTTTGTGTTGCTGATGCTGCGGGTGCCCGACACGGAGACGCACGCACCGCCCGACGGTCACAGCTGCACGCGTGAGAGATGGAGATGAAGATGGGAGGGTGTGGCTGCCAGAGAAAGGCGAGTGTCGGCGAAGTAACAGCGCATATATGAGCTCCGGTCACGATGCGAGCACGTTACTGTAACGTAAGCTCGTGCCTGTGGGTGGTAATGAAAGGAATGACGAACTGAATGGAAGTGAAAGCACCGAGGAGGGAAGGGGGGGCAGGGTGGTCTTCCTGCAGGTGTAAATCCTGCAAGGGTGTCTTGAGTCTGTGGTTTTCTTGTATGATGCCCAGTGATAATACAACCCTGAAGCATCACAGGTTACACAGCAGACCGCTTACACCGCACTGTGGGCTGCGTGTAGGATAACTGGAGGAGGGCACATATATTCACCCCCTGTTCACCCGTCCAGCATATTAAGAGAAAGCCTCATGTTTTGTCTCCAATCTTCAAAAGGCAAGAAGGCATGCGAGTCTCTCAAAAATTAATTAAGTAAAAAAGATTTGAAAAGACATCTGTAATCAGCAAAGGTGTCAGCAGTTTGAAAGTTACTGCCATAGTAAAGGGAAATACACAAGTGCACAAAGATCACAAAAATAAACTACTTTGGCAAATTTTAACTAAGAAATTCACCACCAGGGGGCAGTGTTTTACCAGCCGGTGTGTTGAACTCTTTCCGAGGTGCTCAGCTGTTCTTTTAACTTTTGGCTGCATCTCCTGCCAGTCACTGGTGAATTTCTAGCTGTAGTCTCTCTTATATACAGTGGTATCAATGATTCCAGCTTTGGGCCAGACAGTTTTGTGGAGCAGTAAGGTGCAGCTGTATTGAAAAGGTGGATAAAAACAAGGAATGCTGTACATTTTAGGCTTTGTAATGAGTGCCTAGCAGGATGTATAGTTTTGAAATATAAACAGTTTGTGTTCACAGCTGATTCATATTATATAAATGTTTTCAGTCTAAGGACGATAGATTAGTTGAGGATCTACCAAGCTATGTTTGAATGCTGAGATTAAAAATCAGAAAATGCTAACTGGACTACATACACCAGCATGCATAGGGATACTTTGGTTCCCCCCCCCCCCCTCACTCTCTCTCTACAACATAGCAGTAAGGATTTTATTTTGAAACGGTATATTCTAGTTAGCTTGATCAGTTTGCGCAGTTGAAAAACAGCGAGCAAAAGCACTTTACAGAAATTATTACATTTATTTTTCAACTTCAAACAATCTAGTTTGCGTCATAAATGAAAAAAAATACATTTTTTATTTTACTACAAAAATTATACATGGGGAAAAAAACTACACAAGGTTTTGTGCCTTTCTCCTATGATCTGTAACTTGTAATGCACATATTCATATTCCGTATTCAGAGATGATGCAGACGAAGACTGGAAAACTTAAATCAGAATAAATCATCACACTAAAAATTGCACTTATTTCTCTTATGAAATCTCAAGTAGTTTACCATCTATGTTGTAAGTGTATCCTCAATAAATTAGAAATGAAACCTTCTGTGGTTTGTTAGGCAATTTTGAGGGTGGGGGTTTTTTTCTTAGCAAAAAATGAGACTCCGATTTACCCCTGGTTGAGGGGTCTTTATTTTGACAGTCAAAATAGGAAGTGCTTGTATTAAAACACAAAAACACTTTTCGTGCACTTTTGAACTTAAGTATGGGTACGTGGTAGGTATCAAACGGGTTTTACTGTAGTTAGAGAGCAACTTAGAAAACCTGGTAGGCATCAAACAGACAAGCCGGACACAAAGTATGCTCCCTCGGAGGCAGGAGTACGGCATGAAGAGGAGCGGAGGAGCGCGGAGCGGTTCGGTTATAAACTTCAGGTCAGCGATGAAGTTGAGCTCCGGCCGCCGCAGCTCCGCCGTGCTGCCATCGCTGTTAACCTTCTTGGTCATCGTAGCATCCGGAGGCCTGCTGCTCATGATAGAGAAGGGAATGCTGAACGGCATGGAGACGCCTTCACCCCGCAGTAACGGCAGGCGACTAGACTTCAACCGGGGGCAGGCGGGGGGACGCAGCCCAGACGCGGCGGACCTGGAGTCCCAGGTAGAGGAATGTAACCTCACATGAAGATTTAGCTTAGATTTAGTCTGAGTATTTCA